GCCTTGAAATACAGATTGAACTGGTGACAAGGAAAGAAAGGGTATGGGGGGACAGACATGTAAAACCATGTAAGTAGGAAGAAACCGCCAGTGGTGTAGTTAACTGGTAAGTTTGAGTTTTAAATATTTCTTTTCTCCCTCGCTGCCATGAATGGGGTTCAAGTAGATCATGAGAACTGAGAGCTGACTGCCCTGAGTAGGAAGAATAGTGTACATTTTGCTTAATGCAGTTCTTCAACATAAAAGTATGAGAGCACATGTCAATTACTAGCATCTCAACAATAAATATGGATTTTCACGCCTAAGATCATTCTACTTGCTTCTCTTACCTTACCAAACCCTATAATTCCTGTATTTTCAGTACTTTAAGTGATAGCACTAGGGATTTTCAGACAAAGGACAGACACAGCCACAACTAGGGGGGGAAAAAAAGTAAGGATGATGCAAAGCCACATAAAGCAATGAGTGATTTCAATTGCAAGCCCAATTAGGAGAAGCATGCAAAGACAACAGTTGTTTTCGTGGTTAGTTAGAGAACTCTCCTCTTCTTACAGACCTTCACTTCACCCCTCTCACTCATCTGAAATTCACCTTCTGCCCCTTTCAGTTAAAGGTATCCTTTTGGCTCACCAAATTTCCATTTCTCCAGTGCACACAAAGCCTTTCTCTCTTCATCGTTTTTATACATTACTATATTTTCCTCTTAATTTTCTACTCTCCTTTGTTTCTGAAGTGAAAGCAGTAAAAGGAAGGAATATCATCAGATCAGCTGCACATTCAGGATCAGAGAAACACCTGACCACTTGTATGTAACAGCGGTTTCTTTTGTTTGCCAAAACTGATGCCAGAACACTTTAAATACTTAAAATTCTGACAGAAGTACTGACATCAGGCACAAAATCTCAGGGCTGAAAGCTACGAAAACACTTTCTGGAGAAATTTTACAATGAATTGAATTGTGTCAGTTCCTCATATGTGTCAGGTCACACTGGAAAATACAGTGTCACTGCATCCACTCCCCACAACACTGTGCTTCTTTGGCCGTACAGACACCATGGATTCACGTGCTTGCCATGTGACTAATATGATGCCACATGTTGCCCCAGTATAGTCATTGCTTATGACTATACTACTGCACAGTACAGCACTTAAAAGCTCTCAGTTCAAAGCCTACTCATTACTGCAACTCTGAATGAAAGTGCAAGTATAGTAATAAACTAATGTATCTGAAGAAGAAGTAAAATGGATCAAAGCAGCAGAATGCAGTACTGTTCAAGTAACTGGCAAGTGTTCATTTAATAGGAAACCTTGAAGCACAGTCCAGTTTGTGATGTTTATATTACTAGATGTTACTGAACAAGAAATAGGCAGGAAAAATGAAATATAAGAACATTTTAGCTGATATCTTCCCTGCTTACATACAGATCATGTGTATAGTTAGTTAATACCAATGAAGTACTTCCACCAAAGACACCTTCACTAAGTTTTCCTAAGGAAAATCATAGGAAGGCATAAAGGCAGAGCCATGTAAAGGGAAACAATACAGTTTCTTAACTTCCATGGAGAAAATGGCAGTGCCAGTCCAGTACCAAGCTCAGTGCTCAGTGAAATAATTCTCCATCTTATTTCATGCTAGAGGTTGACTGCTGGCTTCTCTCTTCCTCTTCTAGCAATCTGCATCCTTATAGTCAAGACTACATATGGCCATATCAACGACATCTTCTTAGCTGAACTCTCATTATTATTATTATTATTAGCTCTACCAATTATAGATAAGACCCTCAATGTGGGGATGCAGCAAGTTATGGAGGACAGGATTGTGACTGTGGTACTTGCACTTCAGCGAAAGTAAATTTTAAAAAACAAGAAAATGCACATAAGTGAAACTGTGATAGCTGCAAAGAAAGACTATTACAAAATGTTAACGGTTTGATAACAGAAATAAAAGAAAAAGACATTTTAGAAATGTAAGGGAAATTTCAGCAGCATTTGGTAAAGAAAAAAAAGGAGAAATTTAAAAAAAAAAAAAAAACAAACAACAAAAAACAAAACAGAAGAAAGATACAGAAATAGGGAACAACAGAAGAAAAAAGAAGGTTTAGGTAGAAAACCAATAACTTGTATTTCAGCCATACTGAATTTTAAAGAGTTGCAAGAATGAAAAATGCACAGGGCCTTTCTGCACAGTGGAAGAATCATCAGAGACGAGTATGACAGCCAGATAGCTGGACACTAATGAAGAGTACAGAAATATTCTGCTATTGACTCCCCTTCACCCCACATAATAATTCTCTTTGTAAGCAGTGCTTCCAGCGTTCATCTCACCTCTGTCCATCATAATCATATCCCTTCCTGTTCCTCTCTGTTGGCATTAGCATGAACACACATAGCAATCTCAGAATCTAACCACTATTGACTAGAAGGAAAGTGGTTGGACTAGAAGCAGACTCGAGGATGGAGACGTCAAATCAGAGTCTTAGATAAAAGACGAGTCAGAATCACTGATGTTGCTTTATGGCATCAGTTTTGTTTATACAATTATCAACAAAACCCAAAGCAACAGAAGAGGAAAAAAGTGGTGTGAACAGAAAGAAAGGTGACATAGTTAGCAAATTTCAGTACAAAAAGATCAATTAGGAAAGCAATACCTTCTGAACATGGAAAAGATCAATACTGGTGAATGGCCCAAACTTGGATGCAATGGACAGTTGGGAGGGCAAGAACCTTACGCAACTAGCGTACAAGACATAAAGAGACAGCCATAACATAGTGAGATAAAACCCAATCTTATAAGGTAAGTGTCCACACACGGTATACACCTGAAAGACTTTTCAAAAATGTGTTTCAGCATTGAGCAATAGCATACTGTTCTAGGAACACAAGTATACATCATATGAAGACCTGGAATTAATACAGTCCAGGTGCTGTGTTTGTCTCCTACATGAAAAGTTTTGCCTACAATGTTACTAGAACTGGATATGTGATTAAACACAGTGGACTGAAACCAACAAAGTGTGTAAAATTCTGAAACCAAATAGAAGCTCAAGAAGAGACATTACTCCCTTTCATTTAAAATAATTTTAAAAAATCTGTTTTACTTTTTTAATACAGAAAGAAATTTAGTGCAAAATTTCTTCCTCAAAATCACAACAGAACAGTACCGGCTGAAACTGTAAAATGTAAGTCACTCCAGAAAGCTGTGAAGCCTGAAGTTAGTAAAAGTCACGGTTGATGCAACTTTTGCAAATATTACGTACAAGCTTTACAAAAAACCCAAATACTACAAAGTATACCATAAACACTTATACTTCTTTCATGGAAACCTGAGAATCTATCATTCTGAGTTTCTTGCCTTTACATTAATATTTTAAAACACTTTCTATTAATGCTTATGCTTAGGTTCAAATTAAACTGCATTTAAAGAAAGAACTATTCTTCGCCCCAGAGGGTTGTACAGAAGGGCCAACAAATCCTACTATAATGCAAAAAGTATCATCTTTACATTGATACTGTAGGCAGACACAAATTACTTAAAAAGCACTGCATTTAATCACAGGCATCAGAGAGCTGGGGGGCCAAGTTGTTTGTTTTCACTGTAACATATCAAGCCACTGCATAGCCCTTCATGGACAGGACTAGCATAGTCTTTGCTAAAAGCCCTCTCAATCCAAATGAAAGCAAACATTGCTGCACCAAGTTTGGCAGACTTCCCAATCCTTAGTACACAAGTGGTCATCTTGATTTAAACAACAAGAACAATCATAACAGGCAAAGGAGCAACCCAATTACACTGGGCACAGGCTCAGCAGGACACATGTAAACCTAGTAGAAAACATAAAGCAAGCCTGGTTGGAGGAGAAAAGAAGCTATTTCAGTGAAGCAATTTCATTTAGTTTCTTAGAAAGGCTGTGCAATCACAAATAAAACAAAGCTTTCATTCAACAATTATCATCTCAAGATCTTAAAACTGAAATTCAGCACTGATCAATATATTTTCTATTTGTGCTAATTTCCCATTGTGCTGATCCAATTTAGAAGCAGGATAAGAAATTAATGTAATTCTGTTGGAAACAACCAAAGTCACAGCCACAGCCTTTGAATATACATTTGCTGATGTCATTTGCATTAGTGACCACTCTCTTCTTACACATCTTCTGTTTCAAAAAGAAAGACAAACAATCCTCATTTTCTTTATGGTCCTTTGCTTCACAAGAATAAAGGAAGTGAAAGGAGGAAGGAGACAAGAACAAAAAACCACCAAACTCCTATGTGGAAAAGTAAAGAAAGACGGAGGAGAAATACATCAACTGTATGCAAGTTGCACAGCTTACACAGTCTCATTCTAGACATGCTTAGCTACATATTTATGACAGTTTATGTGTCCGGCCTCCTGCCTGTGTGACACAGTAATCCCCCTAGAGGGAGATCTCAGATCTGAAAAATCACCTTATTAACCTTAAACAAGTCCAAGTATCTTTGTGGGCAACATTTTAGACAAGAAATTATTTCTGAAATTGGATTTTAACTTTGTAACTTTAGTGAGATTATTCACAACCACAATTGTATTAAAAAAAAAAATCACGCCTCCTGATAAACATTTTGTTTATATGCAGTGGTAATAACATTCCATTTTAACATGGTGGTACATCTTTAGATGGTTAAATTCTTGAGGTCCAAAATTCAACCGTTTACTGTACTGCTAAAAAGAAATCACAATGTATACTTTTCCAGCGACAGTAGCAATGAACAGGTCTTTCTAGAAGATACAGTAGTAAAGTTAATCCTTGTGTTAACTTTTACCACTCCCTTTCTCTTCTAAAAGTCTCAGAAGGTGCCTGTTGACACTAGTTTTATTGCTCTATTATGTTTATAATGAAATATTATTGTATTTCC